ATAACCTTGTTTACAACACTGAGTGACAGCTCTTTCAGAGGTACTCCATTAAAGAATCAATGGAGTGCTAGAAGCTGACAATTCATCCATTAGGATGAATAAAGCGATTTTTGACTTGACTGACTTTCTACTATGATTCTGTGTTTTCTAGGTGGGTTAGATCCTACTAACCGCAACTAACTTGACGTGAGCGTCTTTATAGAATATTTCATTATAAGTAGTATATGAATGCCTAGACAAAATTCCCCTGGAAGCACACGACCGGTTTCGTAGTAGTATTGATTCTTCAATGGACTGGTTCTGGAAGAGTTGTCTATCCATTAATCACCCGGTGTTGCAAACGAGGTTAATATGACGAAAGTACACTTCCTAGGTACAAGTGTATGAATGACCTGACAAAAGATTACCGAATGCGCATACCTGACGCGCGGCAAGAACCGCGAAACCGGCCATGTGCTTCCAGGGAAATTTTGTCCAGTCATTCATATGGTACTTATTCCATATGTGTGCGTTTGTATGTATACGTCTGAAAGGTGGATACAGGTCGGAGGACGTAGGTGAAAAGGGAGAATCGGGGATAAAAGACAACTGAATTAGCTGGTACCTTAATACCATGCTGTTCTGTACGCTTGGTTCACTAACATCTGATTGGAGAACCATTCACTATATATGTACAAGATTAGCTGTAGTTAAGTTTCAAACTTCAACATTCCAGTTCCCGAGGAGCAAACAGTGTGTGCCAAATGGGAGAAATGGGTAGTTTTAACTCTATCTCTCACACACACAACCCTTAAAATACCAAATATTGTGCTTAGTGCCCTTGATGCACGTGCGATCCTCGATCATATTACGACGTTTATTAAAAGCTTGTTGCATATTGATGGACCTGGATTTCGTACCATATGAGGAGTAACCAACTTTTTGAGAAATTAGTTACGTCATTCCAACAAATGTTAGTCAACGGATGCAATTCGGAGATAGTCTGTTCTAATCTTTCGCACAACCGTTTGGGTTCTCTAACCCGATCACATAGTTGTTTGATGCGTTATGCATTAGAACATTTTCCCGGAGAACTCGGTTTTTTATAGTTTCAGATGCAAGAACAAGACAAGCTCGTGAAATTTTGGGAAGTGAATGTCCGGGTGTTAAGATTCGATGAGTGACAATAAGATTTCATGGCAAAGTGTATTCAAGTATCAAGCTTGGATTAGCCCATTCGATCGTTCAGAGGCGCCAGACACTCTTGATGGTCTTGGGTGTGGGTTTCACTCCTTGGGAGATCGTTAATTCCCCGCAAGATAAATGCATTCAAATGCGATGGAAATGTTTACGTGCCATTCCGTCAATCATTTGGTTGATTTGTGAGATCGTATGAGAGTTCTGGTCGGATTATGAGACTTTATTCAGTTGGTAAACGTGCTCTGTTTCTCAGCGCCTGGTGACCATGACTGTTTATCGAGACGGTTATGAGCTCAATCTTGTTCAGGCCCATGGATTCCCGTTTTGCGGTCGCATTTGTGTATCGATAGACTTCATTTCGGTCTACACGCTATCCCGATTTTTTCAAATATGGAATTTTTAAAACCACTCCAAGGGATTATATTTAAGCCTATAGTGTATTTACTTTCTGTATCTTGATTTTGCTAACGTTCTCAGCTTCTAACTCTGTCACCTACTCTCTCCCTAGTTAGTCGGTCAAATTGGTAACCGAAAAACAACATCCAAAACCACGGTTTCAGAGTGAATGATTATTGTAACTGAGCCGGAAATAACTTGGCCTATTTAAGTAGTGAGTTGTTGCACGATTCGGGTTAATCCGTTGCACGATGAATCACTTTCTTATCTGTCAATCGTCACCATCCGTAGCCTGTCCCCAACCGGTCCTACTCAGACATGCGGCTCTTTTAGTCAAAAAGTTTTGCTTGTATGTAATCTCGGTTCTCTGTCTACCCCGTAGGGTGTTCCGCTTGGAAAGATGGCCCTCAATCTTCGCGATGCTGTGAAAGGTTGGAACACGTTGTCCGAGGCAGAACGACAAGTGAGTTGACTAGTGCCTGTGTGTATTTGTTATCGAAACTTCGTAGGCATTTCATTGTAACTGATTTATTTCATATCGCAGTTAGATGATGTGGTGATGGAAACTCAGGGGGTTTGTTACGATCGCGCATCGATGGGTTAGTTATCGACACAACAATGGCGTTTTCTCCGCAAGTGGTCAAGAAGAGTTGTAATTTATTCCGGCAAACATCAAACAGTTTATACTGTGGAGTCTGCCGTCAGGTAATCAAATGTAGTCGCTTTCTACAGACCGTGTTTAGTTGCAAACCCTTGTATCATGTAATGCACGCCCTATGAATGACCTGTTCGTCGTCCTCCCTGTTCCTTTGTGATTTTAGTGATGTGGACTGGCCATTCTTCAGTATTGATCTTCACACAATCCCCAATTTATCCAGTCATTCATACACTTGGGAGGCATTAAATTCGAAGTTCGCTCTACACAGAGGTCATCAATAGAGCGTATGCACCGTCCCGTTTTGACTTTGAACGCCGAACCCATTACCACTGTACCAACCAGCTTACATCGAGGCTGACCAGAGTTGCTAATTATTACTTCGTCAGATTTCGTCATCAATCATGATCACTCAGCAGGTAGTGAGTGGAATAAAGCCAAGGGTGGTCAAACTAAGACCTTACTTTACTTTATGGCGGCTGGCTCCTGGAAGAAGACAAGCCGACTTCATGGATATCCCGAATTGCCGCTGCTCACGTTCGGCATCATCGGCGCAGATTGTGATCCTGCTTGACTTCCATTGGCGAACACCGTAGACGGAGCAGAGAGCAAGGTTTTGAAGACCATGCACGAGGGTATGAAAACCCTAACCAGGGAATTGGGTCATAAAGATCCCGTGAGGCTCTCTGGCTGGGGACCTCGGGATGACCATAACCGATGATTAGAGACAGTGATATATATGACTGGGTGTCGTAAACAATGGCGTTCGTGCATCTTCTCAAGATCTTTTTAACCTTGGTCCACCGAAATTTTAAATTTTCTGTTTGATTCTACTTCAACCTTCCTGTCTTTCTCTTACTGTTAATCCAAACGGGCAGTCAAAAGACAGCAACTAAAATCGGCACACGAAAGTGCCTGGTTATCCCTATGGTGTTTATATTTATCTTCGATTTCAAGGCGAATAATGCATCGTGCTGGTTGAACTGGATCACAAAAGTATACTTATTAAACTCGATGAATTCTATGTAAATAAACGAAGCTGGTTGACAGATTTTCTGTGCATATTTTAAAAGTAAATTGAAGTATAGTTTGGTACTCTTTCTCTCTGTCTCCTGTATTCCATCACCCCAAGGTCTACAGCGCAAAAGCGTCGGACCTGAAAACCGAATATGAGAAACAATTGCATCAATGGGCGACGGAGCATCATTTGCGATTCACCAAAAATCTTACCGTTCTCACACAACGTTTCTACGAACGTGAACGAAAACCGCCAGGTCGTCGCGAGTCCAAAGATCCAAACCCGTCCAAAACGACCACATCAACCGTGCGATCGAAACCGCACAGTTCCAAATCGGTCTCAACATCAGCATGAACGTAATGCTGATGGGATCGAGTGTTGCAGTTACCGTGACCTAGTCTGTTCTTTTGTTTATACTCACGCATGTTTCCGTATGGTTTACGCGTCCCGGACTTTTCGCCACACTGTTTCGCCTTTTTTCGTATGCGTTTTTACGACCACGTCTGTATAGATAAACGAACAGATTGAATCTGGTTTTAGCGCCATAACAATCCGATGAGGTGTCGGATACCAGAGCACTGCCGGGAATCAGTATATTCACACACATTTGCTACTTTTAACTACATTCAGTAATTGCGTTCAACCGTACCGTTGTTTGCCTCGTTTTTTTGGCTTCTTATTTGGCACAAGATTGCAACCGTTCTGTCTTTGAGGACCCACCTTTTCGTTATACAGTCGTCTATAACTTTGAAACCCCACAGTGGCTGGTGCTTCAACTGTCACACGGCATCAATTAGACCGGGTCCATCAAAACCCCATCCGGTCGGAATGAACTAATGTCTCCATAGACAAACAAGTGCTTTCTGAGTGATTTACCGAGCGAGGTTACTGTTTGCCTCTTCCTCCCCCACCCCCGTCTCACCCAGGAACATTATGTCCTTGGCCGTTGACCTCTAGAAGTAGAGTATAGGAGAATGAAGAAAGCTGCGGCTATTAATAAAAACCGTACCGTTTTCGGTCTAATTAGGAATACGGGTCTAAGGAAAATAGGCGTAAAGGAAGTAAATAAGTAATTGGATGGAAAAACTGAAACTGGCCGTTAATCGAGTGAGCTTTAGATGAAAGTGAAGGAATCCGACGGGAATTGATCTCAGTCGAACGGGTAAGGAAGCGAATTACGTCTAATTGAGTCGATAAATCGGTCACCATGCTAATGCGTAAATGCTGGCATGATTCATTGCATGAGTGGTTTCTGTCTAAAGGCCCTCAGCAGCATAATGATTGAATTACATTGCGACTGAGGCTGCCTCGAGTGACACCAATTCCTTTGAACCAAATACAATGGCTTACACATTACTGACATTCAAAGGCACAATTGAAACAATACGGCACCCGAACACATCGAAGTATTAGTAGTATCTCACTTGGGTTGTAAAATAAATCTGAACCCGTTCAATAGCTAACATAAATTACTTCATTCACTACTGTTCTCAGTTTGATACATTCTACCTACGATGCCAATGGGTACATCCTGTCCATTACAGCTTCAACGCATAGATTGTTGCGTCTTTTCGCAGCCTGTTCACATCTGTGCGATCTTGTTAGTTCGGTGAGTGCCAGTTTTGCGAATCACGCTTGCATATATGTATTTTCCTGTCATGAGTATCTGTTAGCATTTGCATTGTTAGATTCCAGTTGACCAAGAAATTGCGTTCCGAAGATACACCCGTAGATTTTTGTTCAGACAGTGGTGCTGCGGATGTGATTCGGCGAACTGTATACAAACGAATGTAGCAGTTTTTTTTTTTGGGGGGGGGGCGGCGAACCGCTATTTCCACACCGTCCCATACAAGGCGATACGGTTGACACTTAGGTGATGCGCGTAAAAGATCCCTTCAGGACAGAAGAATAAAGAAGCCGTTATTTTTTTTTAGAAAAAAAACGGTGTTGTTTGATTTATCTGATTTATCGCTTCAATTAGAAAAATGCCAAATTCATCTGTTTACAAAACTGCGGTCCCCACTTGAATAGAGTTGGTATGGAGGACATTATGCACGTAATATCGAGAGACTGTGTGTGCAGTAGTCAGAAGGCAAAAACGAGGAATTCAAAATGAAATAAGGATTATGCGGTGCAACTCCATCCGGTATGCATCTGCGGTATTCGTATCAAAATACCATGGACAGGGAGGGTATTACTTGGCCGGAATCTGTACACCACAATCTTCGTCCGTTTCAATGCCGATGTCGGCCTGCGTTTGAATCGCGGAGAAAAAAGCGCAACGAAAACCGGGAGATACAGTGAGAATAGAATGATTTTCACAAAAGAATCATCAAAATCCTACAGGGAGATACGGTGAAGCGAACTTCATTGATCGCTACCAAGCTCACAAGTTAAGTAATAAAAGATAGAGGTTTGAAACTAACTGGAAGGCGGAAAAGAAAGTGAACTTCTAGGGTCAGCACACAGCGTGAACAATCTAACTGTACACACACCTTTTTAAGAATTCCGGCCTGAAAAGAAATGGCAAAAAATACCACCGCTGTTGATTAATTGCCATATCCTTCAGTGTCTCTAACCAACCAGTTGCAGTTTTTGGGACCGGAAAGGCGTGAAACACATGATCTATTTGTCTTCATCTAGACGACGAATACCTGGAGCACGCAACCCTAAAGCAGAACTGATGCAGTATACACGATCGCTCAGTTTCAACGAAACATAGCATCTGCACCAAATGTGTTTCAGTCCTCCGTACGCTGCTCGTGCCTTGGATATGCGAGCTATGCCACTGTCACACAGCTACCTAAGTAGGAGAGACATTCCACTATGGCTATCTCTTAACCACCAAGCATAATCTGCGAGATAGACGATACCCAATGTTGTAACATCACTTTGAAGGTGCAAAGCACATTCCAAATGTGGCAACAGCACTTGTTAGCCTATTATGTGCGCGTTCTGCGTCTATTGGAACAGACAGACGACGTCATCAACGNTCCAAATCGCACAGTTGTTCTCAGGCTGCCCATTCGCTAGTATGTCGTTCACGACAAAGTTGATTAGGAATGGCGAAATAGAGCACCCTTGACGAACATCGCTCCGGGTTTCGAACGATTTGATTAACCCATCCTAGACCCCCTCACGTTACTTGAAGTATGTAGGTACAGCGATCGCAATAAGTTTACATACTCCTGCGGCACTCCTTTACCAAGCAGAGAACCCATCAGGGATTTGCGGTTAACTGAATCGAAGGATCAAACGAAAGAGGACATTGTGCGCATTGGGTGCACAATCAGTCTAAATAGCTCATTTGAGGCATTCCATGCGATGGTGGGAAAACAAAACTATAAGAAAAATCCAACTTACGATCAGTTGTTTTTTGCTCTTGGGATAACCCTCTGCTACGGCATCTACGATTTCCATGGCCTGTTCATTGTGGGCCGCAAGGAGGGACGAAGGAAGAAGAGCAACATTGGACAGACTGTGAATGGTAATCCAGTGAGAATACATATACACCGAACAGTGAATTGATAGAGCAATGAGTGTAGGATTAGGAATCAAAAAAACGTGACTTGTAAAAAATGCAGGGAATACGTGCCTGCAAGCATGTGCAATATACCAGATTGACTGGTGAACTGTGCCGTTTCATAGCTTTTATGAGGGAAGAAACAAAAATAACCATACGGTGACCGCGGTCTAGTACGATCACTTTTTCGTTGCGAATAGTGATGGTAGCACAGTTCATAGGGGAACTGTGATGTTCGTTGTAGATCACCGTATTCCCGAGCAAACAAGCTTTCATGGAAGTACATAATCCCTAATATGGCGACGGACAGCGCAGTTATGTTAGTGAAAACCTCAAAACAGTGCTCAAGGAAGCCGACTCTATCCGGGGCCGCTTCGGTCAGAGGACCAAGGTTGGATTGGGGCTTTGAGCGAAAGCGGTAATAATTTTGAATGAGACCAAAATATTTCCCCGGGTACGTTCTCTTGGACGCGCGTTGAAAACGGAGTCTGTTTGACAAATGCTGAAAAAGATGGTAAAGGTGTCAAGTAAAATAATCACCACCACTAAAAACCCATCATGCAACCAGCAATCAGGTTGTGAAAGTCTCCAACGGAATCGTAAACCCAGAGGCCACTTCTGAGACGCGCTGCCCACAACAATTTTGCAAAGATGGGTTGTGTTATATCGTGTAAACGGAAGAAAAAGTCTGATGAGCTACCGGGTCCGAGTTGGTAGCATGTTTGCGTTCTTCCGGTGGAGATCTCGGGTTTGATCCCGTTGGGTCGATGGACTCACACTGCTGATGAGACCCAACCAGATGGAAACAGGTGTATAGTGCTTCATAGCTTTTCAGTTCACTCTGCATTTGCTTTATACACGACGAATTCCCTCTAGGAAGAGACAAGTATATCAATCAGGTTTTAAGTGAGATAACTACGAAACGGGAAGGATACTTCAAACGCATACGGTTTAGCCTATAGATCCTAGCTCTCAGTGCTTTTTGGTTCCTGTTAACCTTGAAGAACATCTGTCAAATGCCAGAAAAATCGAGCTGCTACGGAAAGATGAATATGTTTAGCTGGTTTGCCAACGGCACTTAGTCATCTGGGATTGCAGACGTACTGCTCAATCATCTTTCGGATTTAGGATCCAGGTATTGAGGTTCCAAGCTGTTGGCACTTAGATCGTTAGGTTGCGCGTAATTCCGAACAACTGAGAGCGCACATCCGCCAGCGTTGCTCCATTTCCCACCGACTGATTGGAAGACGTTTATCAGCGACACCGTCGAACTGACAGATTTCAGAATAACGTGTTCGGATTAGCTGATTTGATTGTTCACAGGTACCAGACACTGTTGGTCTTGGGTGTGAATTTCTCTCCTTAGGACTTCGAGAAGTGAAATGCATTCATGTGCAAAAGAAAATCCAGTGATGACTGATGAGAAGCACTGAACAACTATTTCCTCCTCCCTTTGGTACACTTGACGCGACTGTTAGTTTTCTGGTTGGGATTCGAAACCTTGAACCCAGAGTGGCAAAGTCTACAACAGTTTTAGAAATATCATGTTCGGATTAGCCAATGGATTGATCACAGGCTTTGGTTACTGTTTCTGGTTTTGCTACTTGACTGTAAACGCTTCATATATGTCAATGAAAAATAAATTAGTGCCGTGATATTTGAGAAAGCAGAATGTGGAAATCGGTCCCGTTGGGAGGAGGGTCAAGTTAAGAACGTACCATTCGTTTACGTTTTCGCCACTCGATTACCAAACGGTCCCGCGCGGCGCTGATCTGAAAAAATTAAAATGGAAGAGATACAGCGATGGGCAAAAAATCAATCAAATATAGAC